TTCACAAACCACCTCTATCTTTGGGTTTATACATTTGATCCCAAGCTACTAAATGAGCTCGCCTTCTGCTATCCTGATCTCCCCAAATGAAAGCCCTTTGTATCTGCTCAATTTCATCACAAAACGTTACTGGTAAAAGACCATTCTGCATATGGAAAGAAGGGATTGCAGCAATGACCGATTTCACCAAAGTAACTCGACCAGCAAAAGAAAGGCAATGGCTTTTCCAACCATCCAGTTTTGAACGTATCCTATCCTTGATAGCTCCATAGTCTGCTTTAATATATCTCCCTTGTTTAACAATAGAGCCTAAATATCTGCCAATACTAGAAGTGCGCTTAAAGCCCATTTTGTTGACAATCCTTGTAGCAACTTGAGTATCAATATTCGGGGAAAAATAAATCAAAGATTTATTTGCACTAACACTTTGCCCCGACATCTCACAAAAGAGATTAATACAATCCATAATTACCTTAGCTTGCTCCATATCTGCTTCCGCAAAGAGAATGATATCATCTGCAAATAAAAGGTGAGATACACTCGGCCCTCTTCTGCAGACTCTAATAGGCTTCCACGAACCCATAGTCACTTTTTCAGCGATCAAGTGAGAAAGCTTCTCAACACACAACACAAAAATATAAGGAGATATTGGATCCCCTTGACGAATTCCTCTCTGAGGAACTATGCAATCCGAAGCCACACCATTTATCAAGACCCTCGAACGATTAGAAGTTATAGAAGCCATTATAACACCAATCATCCAATCAGGAAACTGAACTTCAATAAGCACTTTATAGATAAAACTCCAACTGAGTTTATCATAAGCTTTTTCAAGGTTCAGTTTGATTGCCATTGTACCTTTCTTTCCTTTTACTCTCCCCATAGAATGAACCAGCTCCTTTGCCATTGTACCTTTACTTTACCAGAAAAAACAGTAATGCCTTTCATTTTCTGTAAGGAATATAAGTATGTAATTTATAAAAAAGAAAAGAAAGATATATGTTACCCTGTGAGTTTGGTGTCAGATGGTTTCGTTAATGAAAATAACGAAATCAAAGCTTTGGATTACATTATTTTCAGGGAATTCCACGAAGGTAAGAAAGGAGAGGAGATTTGGGCCAACAAAGTAACAAAGCCCAACATATTTGTGAAGTAATAATATCTTTATTTTTATTTTCTTACCAGTCATTCAATTAATTGACTAATTCAATTGAATTAGGTAAAATTATAAGGAAGGCAAAAATTTCAATTGGTTGAATCTGATGGGTCAATCTATCAATCTGCCAAAATAGGGTGAGTTAGGTTATATCTTTCAACCCACCAACTCGCCTCAACCCACCCCGTTTAGTTGTGGGTCAAAATGGGTTGGTGGCGGGTCGGAACAGGTTGATCCGCAGGTCAATTTTTTTTTTTACTATTAGATAGTATTTTATTTGTCACTAAGTTTTTGTAATATATATATTTTATTTTATTTTAGTATTTACCTAGAAAAATAAAGAAGAAAAACTTTATTTATGACAAAGATTATCCATATATAGAGGCAAAAATAAGTTCCTAAAAAATATCTGACTAAATATTAGCTTATATTTAGGCTTGAGATTGAAAAAAAATTAAGGAGAGTGTGAAATAAAAATAAATAATATTATAAAACTAATAAAATATAATTTATTATTATTTTTAATTATTTTTTATTTTTTAGGCGGTTGATCCGTCAACCCGTCAACCTACCTCAAAACGGAGTGAGTTGATGTTTCCAACCCACCATCAAATGGCAGATCAACCCGCCCCGCCTTTGACATATTGAAGGCGGGTCAGGATGGGTTGGCCTGTTTTGCCACCTCTATTCCTTGTCAACTAATTTTTTTAATAAATATTATTTTATATTCACCCATTTTAAGTTGACACTAGTAGATATCTGGTTAAAATAAAAATATTTATATGTAATTATGATTGTCATTAATAACTTTTTAAAAATCATTTAAAAATAAGTAATATGCTGTTCTTATTAAAAAAATTACAGTGTTTTATTGTAATTATTATTATTATTATTTAAATTTCCATAGAAAAAACAGTGGTGTTGGTATGGTGCTTGCTATGCAGAACATGTTTATTGTGCTTAATGAGAAAAGAAAGGTTACGAAGGTCAAAGATGTAACTTGTCAAAGGGGAAATATAGTGGTATGCATTTTCATGGATTCAATCTTTTACGAAAAAAAAAAAAAAAAGTTAAAAAAAATATAAGAACTTCATCACATTCTTTGGAGAGACCGCTGCTGGTATTTTAATAAAGTCCCTCCCAAGTCCCACCTCGTCTCCGTTAATTTTTGGGAAAACATTTTCTCAAGAGAAAATTTTTCTCATGTTAGTGACATATTGTATAAGTGGGTCCCACAAAATAGTGAAAAGAGACAAAAATTAAAGGTGGGACCCACATATGCTTTGAGTCACTAACATGAAAAAAAATTTCTTCTTTAAAAGGAGAAAATGTTTTCCTTTAATTTTTATGACTAAAATGTGAATTTTGTATTAGATTATCTGTCATCAACCAGGTAAAGCAAAAGCTGTGCGACAAAAGAGGTGAAAAGTGACAAAATGGATCTCAGTTGTCGGGTTAGTCTATTTAATCCGCCAGAAGTGATGGGTGAGATTCATGATGAGACAAGAGATAGAAAAATATATAATTTTAAAATAAGTGATTGTGATCAAATAACATGATCACATGACCATTTTTTTATACGAGAGGATCCACTTTCAGTTGCGATTACCTCTAGCCGCAAAGCGGTATTTGGTTCTTCTTATTTAAAACATTGATTTTTTTAAAACTACATTGATGTTCTTTTAAGTTTTAACACTTCGACGCAGTGTTAATGAAATCGGATCAACCTGGCCGGGTCGACCTGATCGGGTCGACCTGAGAACCGGTCATATAACTGGTCCGATTGAAGCAACAGACCGATCATGCATCAGACCCAGTGCAACCCGATCCGACCGGGCTAATTTTCATGAAAATTGGTGACCTGATCGGTTAATCGGTGACCCGGTCCGGTCCCAAAAAAAAAAATTCCAAAATTGTTTTTTTTTTCAAAAAAAAATCATAATAGACGATATTTTTTCGCTTATTGACTTACATAAGTTATGTAGGTACAACACTAATATTATCTCAATTATGCACTATGCAGAAAATTTTGATTTGGTTTATAATTAAATATGTCGTTTTATGAACCTAAAACCTCGTATCACGATCATTATATTTTTATTTGATCCTTTATTGGATAATAATATGTTATTTGTTATTTTTATATTAAAATATTTGAAATTTTTATATTTTTTTTTTAGATATTTGAGTATGTTTCTAATTTTTTAATATAAATTATAAAATTGCATATAATTACTGGGTCATGCGGTTGAACCAGTGACCCAGTACCTCGACCGGATCAATGACTGAGCCAATTTTAATAATATTGCTTCAACGAGTGTCAGACACTACCCAACCAGTGGTATGCTACATAGCATGTTTGCCACTTGTCAAAAAAGATGATTAAAGATGCTATGCTGCATAGCATGTTTGCCATGTGTCAGAATTGCCACGTGTTATTTTGACGCCACGTAATCACGCTGCACTGCACAACGGCTTACGTGGCCATGCACCTTCTGCCACGTGTCAACACCTAACTCGCCAGATATTGTAGCGAGTTAAATGACGTGTCATTTTGAAAACTTTTTTGTAAAGTGTGGCATTCAGATAATTTTTTTGCAAAAAGTGTGGCACTCATTGTTCCCATGCAATGAGTGGCGGATCCAGGAAATTAATGAAGGGTGGACACTCGATAAGTTCAAGTACATATAAATTTAGGTCTAATCTGGAACGTGGCTTGCGAGCAGCTGCCGGCTAGCTGAGTCTGGTTTAGATCTGGACGAATTGCGACACAACTAGACCACTGATGGAGGACGAAGCAAATGTTCCAACTTCCAATAACGGAGATTGAGATTTGAGAGGAGATGAATCAATATGTAGATGCAAATAATGAGTCTGAAATAGAGCTATCTGCTGTTAGGTTTGGATAACGAAGGTGGAGGAGGAAAAAAAAACTCACGGGAAAATAAAATTGAAGGAGAAAAATTAAAGGAGTAGGATATCGTAACAATCAACTAGGGTTATTACCAATCAATTTCACCGTTAGATCGATTATGTGGATCCAACGGTTATATTTGTTTTTATCTTTGTATGATTATGATCCCCATATTTAATGTTAAAAAACATTAAATATGGAAAATCATAATATGGAGAATCATACCCATACAAAGATGAAAATAAATATAACCATTGGATCAATATAATCGATTTAATGGTGAAATTGATTGATAATAATATTAGTAGTAACCCTAATTAGTTGTTACAATATCCTACCCCAAAATTAAATTGGGAAACTTGAATTTTGTGAAAATGATATTTTCATATTTTTACATCATATTTCAAAGTTGGGTAGTTGCCCCTTTCTCCTGTACCTTCATCCGCCTTGCAATGCCCTAGTATCCTATCTTTTCGACACTGAGTGTCCATGTCACGTGTGCAGTGTCCGTTTAGTATCCGTACTTAATAGCTGCAAAGTACAGTATAAATACCATGATGCCAACCCAAATCAAAACCTGTAACGTTTACTTAATAATATCCAGGGAACAAAAAAAATAACAAACAAAAGAAATTTGTAATATTTTTTTTACCAAAAACAAATCTTTTGTAATTAAAATTATGGATTTTATTAATCTCATTTAAAGGAGATAAGTTATCTCATGTGATAGAGATAAATTTGTGGACTCTACCACCTGAAAAATAAAAAGAAAAGAAAAGAAAAAAGGTGACACAGTTATCGAAGGGTGTGTAGGAGAGAAAATTATCACATGTAATATAAGAGTAATTTTTTCCTAAAATTATTTTACATTTCCAGTCTGTTTGCCTGAGACAAAGGCCTTAAAAAATGCACTTTACATGCACACATTTATGTGAGAAGGGAAAAAGAATCATGTATGTCCATTCTGGTTGAATAATTTAATGCAATGAAGATTGTAACATCTTTTAGAACTTGACCTTCACCCTGCTATACACACGAAGCCAAATTGTTTTTAATCTTGGCTCCTTAAAATATATAGAAGAAAGGTTATCCGTTCCCCTCTACTTCTCAAAAAGGATCTTGGCAACGTAGTCTTCCAAATAACTTTCACATCAATCAAACTCCTTAGTTGTTGCCAACCAGACACTGCTTAGGTAATCCAAACTTCTTGTTAACTCCAACTTGTTTCCTCCAAGGTTCATTATGTAACTTGTAATGCAGAACCTTATGTAACAGAAAAACTAAAGGTCAAAAGATAAAATACAGACACAAATATACCAATAATTTGCATAAGTTAATTATATATTTTCCACTTTGCACTTAACGATACAGCATATCATGGTTCAAGGTTTGAGTATAATGATATCTAGTTACTGGCTTTTTAACCCTTTTGTCCCTTATTAATTAAAAAATAATCATTTTGCCACTGTTCCAAAACTATACCTCAATCTACCCCTCTTTAATCGATTACACCAAATATTTAATCGACTACTCCAAAAATTTTGACCTAGTCGATTACATAATCGATTAAATGAAAAGAAAAAATGTCACAGAGGTTCTTGTATTCTAGAACCGCATGAAGCATGGCTGTCTGGTAGAGTAAGTGCATGAAAGGATAAGATGAGCTTGAGGAAGTGGTAGCAATCAGTCTAGTACTAGGTCTACCTTTTTATGGTTACATAAAACACACTGAGAAGTGAGAACTTTAAGTAGGATAGAAATGGCATAACATAAAACACACCTTTTTATGTTCTTTCTTTTCATTTAATCGATTATGTAATCGACTAGGTCAAAATTTTTGGAGTAGCCGATTAAATATTTGGTGTAATCGATTAAAGAGAGGTAGATTGAGGTATAGTTTTGGAACAGTGGCAAAATGGTTATTTTTTAATTAATAAGGGACAAAAGGGTTAAAAAGCCTCTAGTTACTAGCACCTTGCAGAAGAGAATAATATATTCTAAAATGGTTTTGACAATGGATGATAAATATACCTGTATCAAAGTGGTGAAGACGTCATCCTCTGTCAGTTTTAAGATTTCAACTGCCCAATCATCAACATGTCCCAAAGCAGTTTTTTGCCTTTCAGCTTCGAGCATAATAGAATCACGATACAAGAATCTTTGCCAGATTTTCTGAACATTTGCCAACTTGAATTTGATTTCTGCATCATTGAATCCCTGCAAGAAGAAGCAGATCGCCAACCACTCAAACAACCTTGCCTAGGAAGACAACTTTATGCAAATTTTCCTGATTTAAATTGTATTATCAACTATGGAACATCCAAAAACAATTTATAGAAAAAAGGGGAGAAATAAGCACCCGAAGAATCTTTATCATGTTCGGAATTTCCTCTTCCGGTATTCGAACAGCAAAGCTGTCATAGTTGAACACATTCTCGTACGGAAGGAAAATCCCATCCTACAGAACGAAGGAAACAAAAGGCAAAAGGCATATAATTACCATCATTGATAATTTCAGTTATTTAGTAATTAATTTTGAAAGATACAACAGAGTATTAACATGAAGAGGGAAGCTTAAATAAGCTACTTTCATCACTAATCAATAGCCCTGAATCATTTTTTAAGTACTCACGGGAAGTAAATCCATGAAAACATTCTGAAGAAGAACCACAAATTATTTCCAATATATATCACCTTGTGACAATATATACATTATGAATCATCATTCTGTTAACAACCACTAAACCCTAAACTCTCTTAGCAGTGACAAAGCCAGTTCACTGGATCAAAAAGCTAGCTAGCAACTTGAAATAATTTTGACGGCGAGCTTAACAAAGTCGTTTTATAAATCGATTCTATTGAGAAAAAGAAAAAGAAGAGCATAACTTAATACCTGAATGACTACAGGAATGCATCCTTGCAAAATACTGTCTTCCATGCGTCCACTCCAACCATCTCCTGGAAAAACTCCGCAGAAAACAGAGCTTGCTATATCCGCATGATAGTTTTCAGAACGCAGTGGGGTCACAATGACATCTTTGACATGCTGTTTCCCAAGCTTTCCATCCTTGTCAGGACTTGATCCAAACTCTTCTGCCAGTTTCTGTCTGATACCCATACTATACCTGCATCATTTCCAACAAACTTGAAACTGGATCTTCTATTACATTGCAATAAAATATCCAAAACTGAAGTAACTTCAGGTGATCAATAATATATCCAATGGTGTTAGTTAAGAAGAAAGTGAGTGAGACTATTCAATTTCATACAAAAAATTGAGCAAAAGGATGTCAAGGTTACTAACTAGGGACAATTTGAACATTTTTTAGCACACAATATGCACCATGCTATTGCTTCCTTCCAAAAAATCCAAAACAGTTTTCTAGCAAAACTTACGAATCTTCTGGTCTTCCATGAGGGTAAGCTGGTCCTAAATTCCCGTTGAAGTAGAACAGTGTTTTACGCTTCTCATGGGGCCTGAAAACAAATCATAACAAGGTTGCATTTTTTATTTCAAGAATTTGAACAAATGGAATATACAACATCAACATCAACAACATATTTATTTATTTATTTTGAATAAATAGATTACAAGACCAGAAAAACAAAGCAGATGACTGAGGTAACAATTAATTTCTTACCAGGCCCAAAATTTTGAAGTCAACACATTAGCATCAGGAAGTTTCCAAGCAGGAAGCACGAGATCTTTGTCAGGGTCAAAACATGGATGAATGCCTCTTCTATCGGAAGCAATTTTATCCCAATTGTCAGCCCAGTAGGCTGTGGTTGAATGGTTATGCTTTGTATTTGTGTTTCCCCAGTGAACTAACATCATGCTATTCCATATCTCTTTAGGGGCATAGCAAGCACCTTCATCCCATGAAAAAGACTGTCTTAAAAAACAAAAGTGAAATTATTAACACATGCTTCTCCCCAGCAAATAAAGTAAACATTACTTCATAAAAAAAACTTCAATGCAGAAAAAAAAAAATCCTCTTACACATACCCAGATGTGGTCTCTTCCTGATGAGCGATTCCAATAAGGATATTGCTCAACAATGTGATTATATGCATTCTTATAATATTCCAAAGTGAGAGAGCTCCTCAACCCCATATGCTCCTGAACGTTGCACAAGAAAATGTAGATTTAAGTGAGAAATAACAGTGTAAAATGTGGAATCTATGGCTAATGTTACATGGATATATCTACATATTACAATTCATATATGCAACCCAAGAATAACAAAACATCATCTGAGCATTGCTGATAGTAAGAAACTAAGAACAAAAAAGTAACAAATAACTCAACCAGTGGCGGACTCAGAAAATTTTATTTATGTCTGCATATTTAGCAGCGGGGTTTGGCGGCAGCGCCCCCAATTTTTATTTTTTTTAAAGTTTTAAATGCATTAAAAAGAAAAAAGAATATAAACAAGAAAAGAAAACTTCAACTTAACATAAAAAATAGTAATCAAGAGTCAACTAAGCTATCACAATTTCAGGCAATAATTATTTGTTAAGATTTTTATTTTTATAGCAATGCAAAATAATCTTGCACCATTTTTATTATTATTTTGATATTAAATATAATTATATATCATAAGTAAGAGGCAGTGAACTGTAGATATCTGTGAACTGTCATTTTAATAAGCTAAAATATAATATAATTATTTTTATTAAGCTAAAATTTAAAAACATTAAGTGAATGTCATTTTAATAATTTTATATATAATTTTAATAATATCTGTGAACTGTAGAAGTCTAGGCAGCACAAATACAGTGAGCTATCGTTGTCTTTTGAATGAATTGGGATTTGATTTCCTATGTTGGAAGCTAGCTTGAGGCATTGTCTTGTGCCGCACACTGTCCAATTCCTCATCTTCTCTAAGCTGGCCACTGCCTAACGTAGTAAACTGAAATTCAAGATCATTTTTGAGTACCAACTCCATGCATTTGTGTCTGCATTTGCCCACACTTGCAATAGTGTGGGTCTGCCGATGAACTCAACGTAACATTACATGCAACTGCCTTTTTCATTATGAAATTAATACTTAGATCTTATGCACGTCGATGGAAAGTAAATCCATGTACAACATAACATAGATGTCAGTAGGGACTATCATCCAATTAATCACAGATATTGTAACATTGGGGCAGTCTGTCTCAGACACATGCCACAGGAAATAACGTACATTTGACAGTTAATAAAATTTACCTGCATACTCAAGTGAGGAGCATCATCAGCACGAGTTATGATACATGAATCAAGAACAGGAACAAAGAAAAAGTCTGCTTCTTCACCATTTAGAGTTCGATGAGGACTAGCCAACATACTCTCATAAAGTGCTATCTGCAGACAAGTAGCAGCACAGGATAAATATATTGCAACAAATTTTATATTTGATCAACTGAAGTGCTCCTATCTAAAAGTCATGAAATACCTGAGCACCATACAGTTGGTCTGTCCATATTGTTGCATTATTGCTATCATAAACTCTATTTACACACTCTAACTTAAAATGCCGTCCCTACAATAATAAAAAAAGAATAAAAGAAAAATTAAAATTGAAAAACATCAAAACTTGATCTTGGGATGTAACCAAGAGTGGCACTCAGATTATCCTGACCTCAAATAGCAGGCTGTTGAATTCTGGGGGCAAATCATAAACATATATAAGAGGCCTCTTTTTTGCCACCACAGCAGTAACATTGATAAGTTTTCCACTGACATGACTATTGTCAGGAACATCAACCCGAGCAGGACGAAGCCAACTAGGCCACCCTCTTATAGAAGATATCACAGATGGAGTGCTGCAATCTACTCCATACCAGCCATTGTCACACTGAAAATACACTAAATTCAGTTTATTTACTGACATTGGATGGAAATGAGCCATTCTCATGCCAAATATATACAACATTCAGTTTATCTACAGACATTGAATAGAAAACAAATAGAATTCATACAGCACAAGATGTTAGAGTTGTTTCATTTTATCTTACTGATGTTACCCTCGAGAAACTTATCAATTTCATTTAACGGAACAAAATTAGACATTATTTCAGTCTTCGGATAGGAAATAACTGTCATTTAGTATTTCAAAGCGATTTCAATCTTGTAATTATTACTCAACCTAAAATAGCTTCACCTTACAGGCTTCTAAGTTCCTAGACCCTCAACACTGACAACAAAAATCACAAACTCTCAGAAATGGAAACAGCATCTCTAGAGAAGGTTTCCACATTTGTAAGCCTGTGCTGTTTTTTTCATGTCAATTCAATCCTTCATCAATCTTCCATTTCTCTCTATATCATTGTTTTTCCTTCCAGGTTTATTCTCCTCCAGTTTCAAGTTATTTGGTTCCTAAATAAAGATATCTAGTCAGCAGAAAATTTTCTACGGATTTTTAAGACTTTTTCTCAATGAACTTAGAAGTTTTAAAATAATATTCTTTATCAAATATGTCTTAGTAGTAATTATTTGCCATAAGCCAATCCCTATGACTGAAAATTAAAAAATAATAGATGGTTAAGAAAAATTTTCTTCTTGTAAACAAGTCGGACACCAAAGATAGGAGCCACATTAATAAACAAAGTAATTACTTGACAAAATCCACCACGACAGTAGCCATGTCCAGAGCACTGATTAATGCAAACAGATTCAACAGTGACTTCGCAAAATCGGCCCCAAAGACCATCATATTTGCAGTCACATTCCTCTTTGAATTTCACCTTGCCAGCATATGCTTTATCTGGGTCTACATTACACCAACCTGGTATGCTACCATTAGTTGTGAATACGTCTTGGTCAACTTTTGTCCAATTCACTTGTTTGGGACCACCAGGTTCAGAAGGTGGACTGAAACAGATGTAAGGAGTGTGACTTCATTGGTACATTGGGAAAATTAACCAATGAAATTCAGTATTAGGAATTTGATTTTACATACTTAAATTGAAACCCACATGTCTCTGCCAGTGGTCGATTTGGATATTTTGTACCTTCTCCACAGAAGCACATTGCTCTTGTTTTGTCACAGTTAGCTGGGCAAATTGAGACAACCCATCGCCCAAATGGCTGATCTGGTGATCCTGGGTGGTTGCATTCCAATTCTAATCTCTCAGTGCATGCATCTCCTGTCAGCTCAGATACAATATGATTTTTCAGACCAAATAATGAATTCAATATTCTTTTGTGCAACAAGTTATGTATTCTTTCTTTGTTCAGTTTCAAGCAAACTGGAGAATGTAAACAATGTATGTTACCTCTTAATATAAAAAGAAAAAGCTAGTTATGAATTAGAAGTAACTAGTAAGAGTTACAACACAACTTATTTATAATCAAGAGACAATACATACATAAAGAGAAGAATTGAGGAGGCAGGCATGGGGAAGCAAAGATTGAAATTTTTAAGGTGATGCTGTGAAATATTTGTTTTTCTTCAGGTGCTAAATGAGGTGCCAGCAACTGGCACAAGATCATAAACATAATGATTCACTGGAACCCAACTATAAGTATCAATGAGAAATTATGAAGCACACAAATAAATTTGACAAAACTTCTCCCAGAGAAGTTACCATGAACCAGACTTTCCAGTGTGATAAATCCAGGTACGCAAAAATCCCAGTAATGGTATCACAAAATGAATCAACCCCCCCCCCCCCCCCCCCCCCCCCCCCCCCCCCCCCCCCCCCCCCTCCTTCCCTTTTCTCTCCCTCCCTCCCCAAGAATAGCTTAAGGCATCCCTAGTGAAGATTGTTTGTTAATACAAATATTTGCTCTACATTATTATAGCAAATCTGATACCCTACAAAATCCAGGGAATTCATAAGAATCAAAACAGAAACATCTGATATACCAATTTAAATTAAGAGTATTTTCATGTTTGAAGTGAACATCTATCTTCTGGTTCTTTCTTCAAGGTTTTCTGTGGATATACAGAACTTAATTTAGAATTTATTCCCAAACAAAAAGTAACACATACGCCATTAACTGGTAGAATAAATGTTGCGGGAGATAACTTGGATTTAAATGCTTGACTGCAGACCAATCTGTAAAGACCTTTGTATCTAACTAGTAACAACACCTCTTCATTTGAGAACAATGACTATAAGGTGAGCTTGGGTATTAACACCTCAATAGGTCTTTGAGATAGTGATTGTGTTGTCTGATTTACCAGTCAGCAAAGAATGTGAATATCAGTGTCCCCATAAACTCTAGAATTCATATTATCAATATATTAAGAGAGTTAATAAATGTTATGAGAAAGTTAGAAGTACAATATTATTATTAATGAGTTATCTTCTACTTGATGTTTCTTATTAAGCATCATGTATCAGATCAAATAAAATGAAATAAGGGGGAAGAGAGCTAACCAGCATAACCATGAAAGCATCGACATTGTCCCAATTCTCGATTACAAACCCCCAGGCCACTACAGTCATTCTTGCAGTTATTGCCACCTATTATCTGTTAACCAACCATATTATTAGAGAGTAAGATTACTTTTGGTAACCAGGGATCAAGTCAATGCCAATAACAACCATACAACTTCTGAAAAACTAACAACTAGCAAAGACACAAAACCTCTGAATTAACAACTCAGTAAGAAGACAAATAAACAAAAAGAGGGAAAAACAAGCTAAAGGTATCACTGGTCACCTCAGAAATGTTGACTTCTTTCGTAACAAAATCGCAACCTGCAAGCCACCGGCCAATCTCAGCCTTCCATGGTGCACCCCGATAAACAACTGCTCCGTGCAAGTCAACTGGGAACTGATGCTTTAAATCAATCGCAGGTTCTTCCCGGTCAGGGTTGCTTGGCAATTCTGCTGATGCATTGGTTGGGGGAATGCAGGAGTCCGGAGCTAGCTTAAAGTAACTGAAAGAAGGTGTCAAAGGGAAAAAGAACAGATGTACTACAGAAGCCAATGCCACAACAGAAGCAATTGTTGCCGCAAGAGACCAAGAGCACCTCCATTTTTTCATGGAGAACAAATCTAACAAGTCTCTTGCCATACTAAATCACAACACTACAAAACAAACTTTTCTGATTCACCAGGCTGTCTTAACATCATAACCTGAAATAGCAACAATAAAGTCATTATTTCTCACAATGACCATAGCCATAGCACATAGGCACATATCAGAAACACACAGACATTACAAAGCTCAACTACACTCAAAGTAAAAAAGCCTTTCTCTTTGACATGAAGAGAAAAAAACAGTGGCAATTTACTACCTACTAATGCAAACCCATTTAAATTTTCAATACACAAATTAAAGAAAATAACAATTGAATTCAATAAACAAAGACAACCATCTCATTATCCTACATTAGTGAAGTGATGAATTATCACTGAATTTTGACATACAATTGGAGAGCGTTGACTCACCTTTCTCAGATCTGGCTCCAAAACACAGAACCTCATGCAGAGATTCAACAAAAATTCTGCAATGAGGAAGAATCAGATGAACCCAATTCAACAATAGAATTGACAAGGTGGCTCCTTTCGAGTCCCAGCTACACAATTCACAAACGGGTCATGGTTTTGGTCAATTGGGGTGCCAAAAATTGTGTCTTTTTTTTTATTGTTTTATTTTTCCGGCAACTCTCTCAACACAAGTTGACAACACTTCCGTTATATATATATATGGGAAAACTCACTTGTTGGTACGTTCTCAATATGTAAAATTTTCAGTTTTGGTTTAACAATTAAAGAAAAGGGTTCCGTGAAACGGAGATTTAGCAATGAAGATGAAAGAGGAATAGAATCTTCTGGGTTTATTTATTTATTTATTTATGTGCTTGTTTTGCATTTTTACCTTCAAAAGCCGCGAAGGTCCCTCGTCTTTGAACCAGGCACCAACTGGTTCTCACGTGAGTGTCAAAAGACTATATTGCCCTTCTAGCAGTGAAGTTGTTTTTTTTTTTTTTTTTTTTTTTTAGCATTAACTATTAAAATGATTATTTACTATTCAAAACTCAGTTACTTTTGTATCTTTCCTATCCTTTCTTTGTTTTGTTTTTTCTCCTTCAATTTTAAATTTTTAACTTTTATGAAAAATGTTAGCAACACACTCTTTCATACATTATTTCCAAGTTCCAATGTTATATTATTCGGTGAATTTTATGTTGGTCCTATGGGTTCATTTTTTATTTAGTGAAACTCGCATAAAATTCGCAAAATAATAGTATGTTAAAGAATGTGTTATTTGTTGGAAAAAAATAACGGAAAAATACAGTAGGATAATAATATGTTTTTAAGGAATTGCTTAAAAAAATATATGAAATAAAAAAATAATTTGAAGTAAGGAATAACAAGTAAGATTATGAAATTGCAACATAAAATACTACCAAAAAAAAATATGAGATCAAGGAATACACTTATTTCTTAAAGGTAACATGTTCACTCTACGATATCAAGAATAATGAAAAACTATATTCTAAAATAGAACATATTACCTCTTTTATATGGTCACACTTTCACAATAGCCCTTCAAACTCAATATATGCTTGAATAATGTTGGAGATTATCTTATTTGTTAGGATTGTATATTGTTTATATTTATTCACTATCTGTTGCTGTTTGTTACAATAGGATAACTAGGATAACTTAGTTGTATATTTGTTTATTGTTACGATAATTTAGGATTGCTTAGTTAGTTGCTGTACAATAGCTAAGTTAGTTGTTATATTTTTTGGCTCCTTACTTTGTAACTCTATTAAAGCAAATCGATGGAATAAGAACAGACACGGTTGAATACCAAATTTTATCTTGGTATCAGAGCTATTCCTAATACACACTTCCGCATATACCACTGAGTGAGTGCGAAAGCTTACCTAGTAATAATGGCAGAAGAGACCAGCAGCAACTTAAAGCCTACGGATCCCGGTTCTCCTTACTATCTCGGAGGCTCAGATAATCCAGGCGTCCTTTTGACAATAGTGCAGCTACGAGGCGAAGCCAACTATGATAACTGGGCCAAGCTCATGAAAAACGCGCTCAGTGCAAAGAATAAAATCGGTTTCGTTAATGGGGATGTTAAGAAACCAGAGAAAACTAACGCCGAGGAATGGCGTGCATGGGTGATGTGCAACTCCATGATCAATGGTTGGATCCATAACACCATTGATCCAAAGCTGCAACCCTTTATCAAATGCTTCGATGACGTGAAAGACCTTTGGGAGGACTTGCAGGAGCGATATGCTGTGCAGAATTTTCCACGTCAGTACCAGTTGAAAGCGAGCTTCACTACCATTCGTCAACGCGGCAGCACCGTTGGGGAGTACTACACCAAATTGCGGGCTATTTAGGATGATCTCGAAGGAAACAAGTCGCGAAAATCATGTGCGTGTGGTGACAATTGTACCTATGCTAAAGAAGCTGAGGAAGAACGTGAGCATGACCGGGTGTATCAATTCCTTATGGGATTAGATGACACTCTCTTCGGCAACCTCCGTTCCCAAATTCTGAACACTACACCACTTCCCTCTCTCAATAAAGTTTATGCTACGGTCACTTAAGAGGAAACACACTGAAATATTGCGCACACTCATGATGAGCGCCCCACTACAGTTGGCTTTGCTGCTCGAACCGAATCACATTCAATGGTTCCTGAGAAACCACTAGACTGCATTCCATGTCCACATTGTGGCAAAACAAACCACGATCCTTCTCACTGCTGGACCAAGTTTGGCTACCCTCCTATCAGGGGTAGCATTCGCGGACGAGGACGTGGAAGATTTGGTGGTCGTTCCCCCACTGATCAGCCGCATGCAGGGAGGCTTCCTTCGGAGCAACATGCAGCGCATGCAACACAGCTTTATCAACCAGACGCTTCGTCCTCGGCTGGTGCATTCTCGGCTCTTACACCCGAGTTGATCACCAAGCTAATTGCACTCGTGGAAACACCAACTTCTTCTGACAAGTTAACTGGTAAGGGTGTTATTTTCCCATGGCTTGTGGATAGTGGAGCCTCCCAACATATGACAGGCTCCATAGAATTTTTGCTTGATGTTATTTCAGTTGAAAAATTAGCTATTACCCTACCCAATGGATCGGTCACATATACAGAGCAGCAAGGAACCATTATTCTCTCACATTCTTTCACACTTCAGAATGTTTTATATGTTCCAAATTTATGTTGCAATCTTATTTCTGTCTCTCAATTATTGCAACACAGTGACCACAGGCTTATTTTCACTGACAAAGGATGTCTCTTGCAGGACCAGGCACTGAAGAAGGAGATTGGTTTGGGTAATCTCAATCACGGGGTCTATGTCTTTCAGCCACCAGTTGCATCTGTTGCTGCGACTCAAGCTTCTGAATCCTTGGAGTTGTGGCATAAAAAGCTTGGTCACCCGTCTTATGAAGTAGTGTCTTTAATTCCTGCATTTTCTGATTTTCGAAATAAGGATGTAATCCATAAAGCATGTGATGTTTGCTTTCGTGCCAAGCACACACGTTCTGTATTTCCTTTGAGTTCTGTCCGTAATAAAGAATGTTTTGATCTTATGCATTGTGATACGTGGGGACCATATGCATCAGCTTCTAATTCTGGTGCTCATTATTTTTTAACAATTGTGGATGATTATAGTAGGGCTGTTTGGGTATCTATGATGGCTGAAAAACGAGAAACCTGTGATCATCTTCGTAATTTCATCACTATAATTCGAACACAATTTGGCAAAACCATAAAAATCATTCGATCAGATAATGGCACCGAGTTTCAATCTACCATTTTGCAGAATTTTTTTTGCACTATGGGCATTCAGCACCAAACGTCCTGTGTATATACCCCGGAGCAAAATGGTCGCGTAGAGCGTAAACATAGACACATCCTCAATGTGGCTCGAGCTTTTTTATTTGAAGCCCATATGCCAAAAGATTTTTGGGAGGAAAGTGTCCTTGCTGCGGTTCATTTGATTAATAGAACTCCTTCAAGATTGCTCAATGGGAAGAGTTCACATGAGTTACTGTATGCAGCCCCTGTTGACTATAATTATTTGAGAGTGTTTGGGTGTTTATGTTATGCAAATACAAGACCCAAACTCAAGGATAAATTTTCTCCTAGGTCCTGTAAGTGTGTGTTTGTTGGGTACCCAACAGGACAAAAAGGTTGGCGACTTTATGATTTAGAAAACAAAGAATTCTTTACTTCTAGGGATGTGTGCTTCTATGAGAAGCAGTATCCATTCAAGGATGTATCTGATCACATTGCCCCAGTGGTTGACAGCGTCCCTATATGTTTGCCGTCAAGTTTTCTGGTTGATGAGACCGTTCAACCAGCTGCTGCAACGGAAGCCTTGCCCCCTATTCTTACAGTACAACCAGTGGCTGGTGTTGGAGCTCGCAGTCCAGCCGACAGGGAGAATTGTTCGCCGCAAGAAGTCCCTACGGACATGGTGCAACACGGTGCAGATATCGTCTAGGACCAAAAAGTCCCCATGGACATGGTGCCACAAGCTACAGATGTCATCCAGGATATGCAGGGGGTTCCCACGGTCACACTTGAACATGGTCATCCCATTCAAACAAGAAAACCTCCTGCTTATTTGAAAGATTATCATTGCAATATGGCTGAAACACATGCTGGCTCCAATGAGATTACCCAAGCTCCCTCCATCTCCAGTGTCAGGTAGCCCATGTCTAACTTTGTGGATTTATCTAAATTTTCCACTAGCCACCATGCTTTTGTTGCTGCCTTAGATGCAGGTTGTGAACCGACCTCTTATAAAATTGCTCTTCGTGATCCTCAATGGGTTGACGCAATGAAAAATGAGATCACTGCTTTGGAAGATAATAACACATGGCATGTGACTGAACTACCTCCAGGCCGCAGAGCTCTTCCCAGCAAATGGGTGTTTGTAACACTCCGTGTATACCCGGAATATTAACATTACATCGTATTAAGCGGTGCTTAATTAAAAATGCGGAATATTCTTTTTCTTTTCAATTATGACGTCATTATCAATTACCAACTTGATTACTTAATCAATTTCATAAAATATCGCC